TAGCATTCATTCAGCAGGGAAAATATTTAGTTTATAGACACAGGTTGAAACCGTTTAACTTGATCAAAGAATTCATTATGCACAAAAGTCAAAAAGAACACTCATGCATGGGGTATTTTTAATTCTACCAAATAAGCCAAAACTAAACAGTCTTCAGCAAGGCTAAGAGATAAAAAGTTCACAACCATCACTGAACCTGAGGTATTATATTTATTAATATTTATTTATTGTTTATCCTATGATGCAACGGGATAAACATGACATCATATCATGAGAAACTCGAACATTTGTGTCTTTCATTATGATCCAAAAACAGACGCATTCCATAGTCCGCAAACTAGTTTATTAAACAACATAAAAATAAATCATTGTGATCGTTATAACAGTTCACCCTTGATATCCCCGTGTACAGTTACATTATGCGGAAAAACGTGATTCACAGGCGATTTCGTTCATGGAATGAAACATTCATCTCCTCATTCGTTTAATCAAGTCTTCGAACGATGTACTGTGAAGTGAATCCTACTGATCTTCTCGGTAACAAAGATGGCTTGTCATTTAGTTAAAACGGAAGAATCTCGTAGGTATATTATCCTGTATCAATTATTTGCTGGCTGAAGATTTGTTAAGTTTTTATCGGCTGGATCCACCGGTACATCATGGAGTGAACTTCGTGCTAAAGGGAATAGAAAGCTAAAAAATTTTACGCCACACTAACGATTCTACTCTGAAACCTATTTGTAATATCTGGATATAGGGTCATCTCAGCACAGACAATTACGTCAGAATGTGTCAGATCGAAGTGTCCCAGTGCTGTTGTGTAACTATGCTAAATTCAGATATCGACCAGTAGAAGAGTCTGTACATGGGTTGCCAGTCACAATTCCTGAATGGGCTATTGCCAGTACCAATTAATGCGTTACAGGTGTAACGGAGCGTAAGTTGTCGCAGCAAACTGGTCTTCCTACTCAAAACGACATCATGCGATGTCTGAAGTCCAACGTGACATCGAGGTACTCGTAACAGACGTCTCCGACAACAAAATAGTCGCCTCGTCGACAACTTGCAAATCAGACGGATTCTGACAGGCACCACTGGTGGAGGTAGGGCTAAACGAGACACAGACTAGCCACTGCTTCCTACTATATGGTCACAAAGTAAACTTTTTAAGACTATTGTGGCACTTACATTAACTCCAAAGTAGTCTGTGACACCTCGACCGCGAGCACCGACGACCCCAAAAGAAACGCTTTCATCGATAAACAGTCGCAGCTTATACTTCCACTTCATTTCGATCTAAAATTTAAAAAAAAACACTGAAAATTTATACGACTGAACAACTAAATAAGAACCGCAAGGTCAAGATTTCAAAGAGAAGGTCAGTTGCCATATACCTGTGTGCACTACAGAGAACCTTGACTGCGAAAAAAGCTTGTTCATAAATTTTGAAGGATCTACAGAAGACCTAGGTTTAATTATTACCATTCAAAGTAGCCCCACTGTCCTACTTCTACCCCATTTCCGCCAAGAGGCATTGCATTGGAGCACCACAAAGTGAAATCCATGCTGAGTGGAATTAACAGTATGACAGAAATTCATACAAAGATCAAACTGAATGCTTTAGAAAACAGTTAAAATCTAACTGTCTGACCAAATCGCCGCTTATGTACTTAGTAATTCTGACTTCAAATATTTTCGTAGGCCAGTGAATCAAGGTATCCCCAAGACCACATTTTCTGGCGGACTGCACTTTCCCTAGCTCCTAGTTGAATAGGGGAGGGGAAAAATTGTAGCAGGTTACGGCTCCATATATCTGAACACATCTATAGTGCCAGTTACATATCACATCATCTACTTCGCGCTCATCACGAATCGTGTTAAAGGATCTGGTACTCCTAACACTCTACCGCATAAAGATCAGAATGCCCATTAGCCAGGGTGTGGTAAAATACGCGATGAAATCTCGCCTTGCAAGAGTTATGCGCCATTTAATATACTGAGGCACATGAAAATATTTGGATGTATATGCCGTAGCATAAAAAGAGTATCAGCCATTGAAAAATCGTTCGCGATGATCATGTGGGGGCTCCACTGATAAAACAGCGAGATGTACGTGACACTGCAAGTGCTCAAATTCAATGAATCAGTGGCTTACTTAAATACACCACAGGCAACTGGGAGCAAGGGAATGCTGCAATATGGCATGAAATCTGGTCCTGGAAGAGGAATGTGTCATTTAGTAAGTCAGAAGGCAGCATTCGAAAGTGTAGCAAATGATCAGTACGACTATAGCTATATTAGCCAGTTTTCAAAGCTGATAATTTAATAATAAATAAATTATAAGAATTCGCTTTGATGATTTTCAAAACAATTTGAGTCTTTTTACAGTACATGTATCAGCAATTCCTCGGTTACAGATAGAGCAGAAGTTTTGCATCTTACGGGTAGCTTAGCGTGGAGCAGTGAAATACACCATGGAATAACTCTGGTGTTGGGATAGTCACGTGCTAATCAAGGACGTTTAATAGTACTTCAAAGGCTACTGACAGCTCGAAAATCACTCACCAACCGGGGTAACGGACACATCGTGCCGTAATTCACGTAGATGCCTTCGACGACCAAAAACCTTCGAGTGACTTTGGCTTTCTTCGGGTTCTACAACGACTGTAATAGCATGCAAGGACATACAGAACACAAATGGTAGAGCAACGGCACCTGCCGGTCTTTTTCCGCTTGTAATTCCAGCAGTCGCTCAAGGTCCCGCATGTCGTTGTGCTCGAAGAACTCGACGCGACTACGAGACGCCTGAAGACCTTTCAGAATCGCGAAGTTGACGCCTTTGTCACAAAAGATTACGTCACCGCGCTTCGCATACGCCGGGATGACGCTAGCGATTGTCGGAAACCCATAGCTATACAACACGGACTCCTCGCAATTCAGGAACTGTGCGATTCTTTTCTCGAGTTCAAGATGAACATCTGAAAGGAATAGACCAATAATAGAAAAAAGTAATCTTTGCAGAGGCAAGGGTTCAATCGGGTTTTCCAGAACGTTTCAAGAAGTAAACAATAATAGCGTAAATACATTACCCATTGTGCCATAGAAACCGCGAGGACCACACGAACCGACGCCATATTTATGAAGCGCCTGAATCGCCCGATCCTACAAAGATATAATGAGCTATTAATGAGAAAAAACGCTTGAAAACATTCATAAATCAATTCAAATGCAAACTCTAATGAACGAATTATCAGTAATCAACTGCTTACATAAAACCTGCAATGAATTATATTTCTAAGCATAAGAAGACAAAGAGGACAGAGCAAAATGCACACAGAAGCACGAAAACCGGTAAAACTTCAACAAGCAAAAAAAACAATGCAACAAGATTACCACACAATGATTATATTCGAATAAATCTGTTAGATATCTTCACAATCCTGTGAATATGCACAATTTCTGAAATCACAGACTTTGGAGGGAGTCGTTGTGCAACGTATAAAGCCACGGTCTAGCAAAAAGTGGAGAATCTAGAGGAAGGTTTTTGCGAGTCTGGCATTTTTGAAAACAACTTTCGTTCAAACTATGCTGTTATGTTTTTGGCTCGATTGCCTCTCTAGCTCGATGCTTTACTACCTGTTGCATAGATCACAGGCAAGACCAAAGGTGCCCCCCCCCAGCTCAAGGTTAAAATTCATAAAAACAACAAGAATACATTGTTAAGAAAGTCTAAAAACCTAGGCAACATCAATTTAAGTTTAAGTTTGAATCGAGGATCTACATTCAGTTAGCAATTGTCATCTGTGAAAGGTCATCGTAGTTACTGGCATTAACCGCACCATCAGCCGCGGTCTGATCCCTCCACATTGCACGACAGCATTGCCAATATGTACTCTCTGGTTTGCTAAAAATTTCTTAAATTTCCCAGCGAGAGATGATACCTCAGATTCAATTCTTCAGCGTAAACAAAAGACCCTCTAACCTTACAACTTTATCTTCTATGAATCGCTATTATGTACGAATGCTGTTCTACGCATAATTTAACACGGGAGGTTTTGGCTGCATTTACCTCAATTTTCTGATTTCCGATAAAGCCTAAAAAATTTAACGATGCAAAGTTGAGGTACTGCTGGCCGTTTATGGTGACAAATTTTCCGACTTTCCTTAAAGCCGACATCAGCACTGGCGGAAGAAAACAAAATAAAATACCCTTCAATGTAAAATGGGTGAAGCTTCGGATTTTGCGTATCCACGTCGGGCACCAGAGGCTCTGGACACCATTCAGCGATAAGCTCTTCTTTCTCCTGTATAAGTCAAAAGAAAATAACTTCCCTAAAATCTTCAAAAATCCAAAACGCATAAAAAACAAAATGTCAAAGTATGAAAACAAGTGCAAAATCGAATCACCATCTTTCTAGCAGTTAGTTTTCTGTCATAAGAATATGCAAACCACCCACGGAAGCTTTTTCTAAAATAGCTTGTGCCCTTCGTAGAAAAATTTCGACTTGCTTGTTCGAATTTAAACAAAGATTTTCGGCCAGTCTGAGGAGATTAACATTTTACCCGAAAACTTTGCGATGTCGCTTTGAGACAGAAAGCGGATGTTTGTTAGGGAACAAAGTGAGATGATGTGGCAAAGCTTAATACCTTTCTTTTGCCCCCACATTAGAATTACGAAAACGGGAACGCTGCGCATTTGATTTTGGAACGACCGGTCATCGTAATGCAAATGTTACTATCCTTTACTTTTGGTGCGCTCCTCCTTCCGTTGTTGCATATCTTTTAAAAATTTAGAGATTTACGGGCACAGTTACGTCCTGCAGACCGTAAACTACGATATTCAACCGTGCAAAGTGACAGAAAGTAATAATTTACTAACTGTGTGATTTACCCACAAACTGATCGTCTAACTGACTAAGATAATGACTGATTCCATAACTGACTAAAAGACGAGCAGAGAAACTGAACGACCGACTGTTTGCACAACGGTTTGCGTAATTAATTTAGCAATCGAGCGATTAATTAATCGCTACTACTGGGCCGAGTGATTCAGAGACTGACTGCGACTTAAACTAAATTTCTGACAGTGTACTAACATAACGACAGGCTCAGTGACCAACCCAATGACTACCCGAGGGAAGGAAGCTCTGGGAAAATAACTGAGTCAGTATATGACTGACCAACTTAATAAAAAGTTATTCAACTAACCAACCAGTTGAATGACTGTCTTTTGACTGACTCACTGACCCACAGCTGAACGAACTGCTACAAGATGAGGGCAAATGCGGTCTTCCACAAGCACCTACTAATACTAGGAAAAATACAGTTTAGCACTGTCCCTATAAACCTAAGCAAATGATATCAAATGCACAGCCCGAAAGCAAACAAGAATACTTTTTCGGTCAGTTCAGCAACATCTGAAGGTCGGTAGCTTTTTCGGAACAATAATCCGACAATCCATACTAGGAGGAAGATTTCCAGCACAAGATGGTACCAAGGAACCTAAAATGAAAAATCTTAGGCTAGTAGTCAAGCAGAGGTCCGTCTTTCGTCTACTTCGCCAATAATGTGGTACAGTGCTATTCGAAATGGATCACAACTTTCGAAAATCATACCTAAAAATAATACTATTAGAGTAACTCAACGGGAGATTTTAGTTCCAAAACTACGCATACTTATTTCAAGGAAAAGACTTCTTTGTAGATGTTCCAACTATATCTTTCGACAAGGTACAATACAACAAAATCATCAGTGACATAATCAAGTTTGGAAGAATTCAGTCACAAACAAATTAGCATAACTTTTCTGTAGAATACATACATTCATATGCATTCTGAATTTTAGCAATGATGAAACACTCCAATTTTTGCTCGAGGTAGAATCATGCGTAACCTTCAAATCAGGGGTAGTACGGTAGTAACATGGACTAAAGGGAGAAAAATTTCAGAACGTCGCATCTTCGAAATCTGGACAGTTTAATGCTTGAGGAAACTGCCTAAAAATTTCCTTCAAAGCTTCATTCAGAGAGATACGGTTGCCGTTGTAACGGATTTGTTACCTTGCGATTTTGTTGCCTCATCCGCCCCCCTCGAAAGTGTGCCATTTAACAGAGGGCCCCTGTTGTTCCTTCACTTGCCAAAATATTTGTTGTCATGAGAAATGACAGTGGGTTAAACTTCAGGTAGCACGGTTTTGTTAGGCCAGAAATAAACCATATATCGATAATCACATCCAAGGTATCGTTCACATTAGCCTGCAGCCAAATTGGCGCCCCACCCCAAAGATCGTATCTCTGGATCTTCTGAGGAGTTTTTTCCGCTTTCCTTCGAGAAGTAATGAGTTTATATTGTATCTTCTATCGATTTGTATGCCACGTGTTGGTCGGTTAGTTGAACAATGATTTCCTTTTCTTGGTACTGATGAACGTATGAATATATTGCAGGGCCATAGGTAAATATATTGAATGGAAGAGTGGGACTGTTGTTTTCTGTTTTATATTACGAATCTACCTTATAACCGCGCAAGAATATTACGATGAGCCCGAAAATTTTATTCATTGCTTTGTTTCAAAATTGAGTTGGACCAGGTAATTACGTTGCCTAATAGTTTAACAAAATTTAGATTTGTGAATATAATTTAGTTTAAAGTCGAATCTTCTTGAAGAACAACTAACTTATGTTTAAAGTAACTTTATCTATATAGCAAAATTTTATACGCAATGTACAACACCACTGCGCCATTTTTTAGTTACACGCTATGAAGTAAGAAATATTTCCATTATGATAGTCGTTCATAACATTATCCTTTCGTCTACGCTCCGATCTTTCTTCAGGATTACTTGTGGTTGATGAGAAGCAGCAGGTTGTTCGTAATATATTTCCCGTAGTGCTCTTCGGCACCTTACGGAGATTTTCAATTAGCTTCCATACCGACGGGTGTGTCATTCCCAACTCGGCCTGGATTCCTTGGTGAGCTGCATCCGTGTGGTTATTCGCATGGTGTTCGCCGTTGATCACCCTTCGGTAAAATAACAACATTTCAGATGAAAACATCTGCGGACGTCTCGTATTTCTTCTACGATTTCAGTGACCGACGTTATTATTTACGAACCGTAGTTGCAGATCGTTCGGTTGTTAAACAGCCAGCCGGTCGATTGCTTCATTGAAGGCAGTAATGGGTACAAGCGCCAACGCAGTCATCATTTCCACTTTCAGCGCAAAATCAGCGTCGGAATTGTACGCGCAAAGCAAATGCAGTTCGCCAAATGGCATCGCATGTAGCACAGATGGCAGAAAAATTCATGAAGTTAAACATCTGGAAATGAGTTTGACATCGCATGTATCGGCGCAATTTTTAAGTCAGAAAAAATCGAATTGGATGAAATTCCGGTACTGCTACTGCTACCATCTGAAAGAGCATGATGTACGATGCTGACTGCCTGTCTGATAAAAGCAGCGCACAGGATAATAGATACGATCAGGCATTTCTGTCAGCAATGTATAGACTTCAGAGAACAGTGGCGGTGCAAGTCAAAATGTTCCGTCGGCAAGCTACATTCGTAATTCTCGCACGATTTTCACGTTTCCCTGCGTGCCAAAAATCAACATTCGATTGGGTCCAGATTAAAAAAGATTCAAAGATATCGGATCATACCTTCTATATGACTCCGGCAGAATTACAGTCGCCAGAGTTGCGGGAGCCGGTAGAACAGCGCTCACTTTATTTTTTCTTCGTATTGCAACCTTCTTAAGCGCTCGAAGATTTCGAAATGAACTTTGAGCCTGTTACGACAATCCAACGATGCATTCGTATATAACTTGCATTGGCGCTTCTATACAGTCTTCAGGACTTCTTATAGTCTTTGTCACAAGTTCTGCTATTTACGCACCCGCCGCCGAACTATCATGAGAAAGTTCACCAATTTTAACGACAACGGTTGTATCTATCCTTGTTGCGTCCTTGTTTTGCACCAACCATTCTGTTCTAACCGCGAAAATTTCCGTTCTCTCACACAACTCCTGTCAAAGACGTGGCAAAAGCACTTTGATGAAAACTTCTCAGGTCTCGCCTTAAAAGCATCACAGCGAACATCCTCCATACTCTCAATGGATCACTCTTTCCGTTCTCCGGTACGGTTCATGTGCGCAATATATGCAGCGATAGAAACGTGATAACAGAACTGATCCGTCCAAACGGTGTCAGTTTACATTTGTTACAACGTAACTGCGCTTCAATTTAATGAAATATGACAGTTATAAGAGGGAACCGTCAAATGAAACAAAAATGTTAGAAATTCATAAATTTGACGGTGGATTCATATTTTGTTTTTAGTGAGATGCTTACCATTATTTTCAGAGAGAAAGCTATTTATTAGTATGCAAATAGTCATCATCTGCTGATAGAAATCTAGACTTTTGACAGCACAGTGCGCACTAGATTAATGAGTTCTCGCAAGTAAAAAATGGAGTCATTAAACGAGACGCAAAATCTTAGAAATTAATGAGTTTGAAAGTAGTTTCACACTGTGCTCACGGAGAGCTTCTCATGGTATGCAACACGGCGGATTGGATATTGCGGTCGATCGAGATTATCACGGTCCAATTATATACACCAGAACTCAGGCCACAGGACTGCACGCTGATAACGACTAGCGATCGGCTCCGAAAGGGCCCTCGTCAAATCATCATAGACACTCGTCTCAGTGCTCATTTACGCTGTGCGATTTTTCCTACTTAAACTTCATATAGACTGTTTAAATAGAGTGGCATGCACTAAACATTTTGTAGAGCACTTGAGATACTTACTTTCATCTATAGTGATAATGGTTATCATGAATGGACATATCGACGTATCGGGAACACAACGGTTGGCCGCTGACAACATTTAGCTTCCTGCATCGCGCCGATATATAT